TTTGAGCATATTTTTCCTTTCTCAGTCTATGGATCACTCGTAGGAAACGCTAAATTTGGCCTACTTCAAGAGAGATTTTCATATGGAAAACAGCGGCCTCAGTAATCTGGGTAGTTATCTATTTTTGCTCACCGCTGGATAAACATAGCCCTTTTCCAAAGAGTACTTTTTTGAGATGTACTGTGCAAATTATGTTCTCACTGTTGTTTGAAATGTGTTACCTTTCCCAGCTGTACATCAGTTAAAAAGATGTTTTTGGAGCCGTTTTATAGGCGTTTGTTTCAGACAACACCGCTTCTCCACTCAAACAACACCTACGAATGTGGGTACATGTCACAGTAAGCCTTTCTTTAACAACGCACTATCTTTGACCTCAACCAACCGTTATGTGTCTCATGATAAAAAAGCTGTTGGTTTGGATCTGGAGTAAAAGAGCAGTGTGATCTCAAAACACATTTTATCAATTCAGAGGTACTGCAAGCTTAACACTTGCACAGCGCCCATTGGTTTGTTTGCTGATCGTTAGTCGGAATCCCACCATATTGCGACGCTGACCGAACAAACCAGCTAACAACTACACTACCTCGGCTGCGGGCCTCCCAATAGGAGCAAACAAGGTACCTTTTTTAACGTTTATAACGCCGTACTCTGACAAGAGCCAATTGGAATGGCTAGAGAATTGCCGTATGTGAACTGCTCCAGGCATTTTCCAATTTCACTCCCTAACAATATGGGATCATTGCAATGATACTGGAAACCGTTGACTTTTTACAGTTCGCAGTTTGTAAATGAAAATGAACCACTTAGCTGGTAAGCGCATTAGACATAGTCGGAGGCCGTGAGTTATTTCTTGCCCAAAACTGGTAGAAAGATAAGGGGTTCTCAAGTTCACTTTTGTATGTAAACAGAAAGCAACTGGTGTGAGGATGCTGCCTTGAAACATAACTGCTTGAGGTCTAGCTTGCAGTCGAAATTAACCCTGAACTTATACACTAATTTGTGCTTCCCTAGATGACCACTGGGACTGCTGTCAGGCCATTAAGGAAAATATCCAGCTAGCTTATCAAAATATTATGATAACTTAACATGATACACATAAACCTTCCAAAATAGAGTTGGGCCACAACTGTACAATGAATGTTGCAATTTTCTGTACACCGTAAGTCTTAGAATTGAGCACCTCTGAAAAATATAAACTAAAACTTTAACCGAATGACGTCGTGATTCTCAATCTATGAGTTGCCTGACATAATTTGAGTAACCTCACTTATCCCTGTCAACAACACTCACAGCCATATTATTTCAAGTTTACGGAAGCTTCTTTGTCTGATATTATATTATAAACGAGTAGTTTTCAAAATTTTCTCTGAAAAATTGACTGACCCCAACTTTGAGACACCTGCACGTCTTGCAAACAACATCTAAGGTGATGAGACGGCACAAGGAATATCTCTCATGGAGGTATCCAGCTCATTCAAACGGCGCGAAAAAACTTTTGGTTCTTGCCCACCTGATTATTCCATCATCAACTAGACGAAATATCCGTACAGCTGACTGAAAGTATAATCCATTTACTCACACCGCACATGCGGTGTTTTGGCGTGTTTGTTTTCTGTATGGACAAGACGTTCCGGTGAGCTAATGCGACCATAGCAATCTAAATTCCAACATCTCGTTCACTACTGAATGATAGCGTAAGTAGCTACTGAAAGTTTTTCGCTCGTAAGATGTGTCCATTCTGACCCCACCTGATCAAAATAGCATGTGTGCTTCAGAAACTTTGCTCAAATGAGGTGTTGTTTGGTTTTCATATGACAAAGCACCTACATTTTTCTCAAGGTAAAAGATGAACGGCTACAATCTATTCACCGCATTCTTTCACGAGTTGTCCACGACCACATTTAAACAAAAGCAAAATGACACCACTTTACACACATTGTTTACACAACCCTGTTTTTATCTCATTCGTATACAGCGAAGAATCTGTTGGGGGCGCAGTACGTCGATGTTCTCAAAAAACAACAGCTGTCACCTATAATTCAGCTGAGATGAGACTGACTGCTGTTCTGTTCCCGGACCCTGGTAAATTGGTTGTAACAGATTCATCACCAGTGAGTGGTGGACTACAGTTGTGTTGCTATTAAGAGATCCGGTGTTGTGAAGGCTTCCTCATTCACTACGCACTGCTGATGTCACTTCGATTGATGACCAAAATTTTACGACCGAGTCGTCGAACTTTCCGCATGCCATTTGAGGTATCATCTTTTCTCTCATTTGTATCCCAGACGCAGAGTGCTTGAAGGCACTAGAAAGGGTTCTATTACCTCGCTGATTACATTAAATAAAATTTGGCACGTCAGTCAAGGTTACTGGAATGTTAAAAACTCGGATACTTCGTATCTTTGAGCACTTTTTAGCATTTGGAAATGAAAAAGTTTCGTTTGTACGAATTACTTATCAATCAGCCGAGGCCAGTTTTCTGAGTTTACCTGAGGCTGGTTGAAACCAAATTTCATACTGAGTCCACTGAAACTGGTCCTATAAAAGGAATCCAGCTAGCTCTGAGTACTCGAACGAAATGTTGGGCAATCTGGCATCACCCTTTTGAGTACGTGTTTAGCAGATGTCTTGTGGTCCTAGCTGGTGAATCCGTAGCATTTTACTGATTCACTGGGCTACTGCCTAAACAACATGATTCCGTATCGTTTGTCTGACTGACGGTTTTCACATTTTGAGGTCACTTTAGAGTTATTCGTGTGCACCGATGACAGTGAATGAAGTGCCGTTGCTGCATGCATTCACTACCACTATAATTGATTGCTGTTGATTCACGAGACAACGTAGTTTTTAAAAGACTGCTTATGCCCAGTCACTGATTTATGGATGCAGAACTGTAGAGCATCACAACAATACAACCGCTGATAATACTGGTAGCTCTGGTTATTATTTAGGCCGTTGATTTGTTCGTCGAGAATAACAATAGGGCTTCAACTTGGTTGAAAATAGCATGCGTATACCAATGCCGAAGTATGGGTTTTTATGAGAGAAAATACTCGAGGAAGGCCGAATTAGTTGGGCAACGTGGAACAACGAACAATTGTTTATGGAGAATGTCCGGGTGTTCGATGTCGGGAACTTGTCCTATCGGCCACGACAACAAGTGATGGGCTGTAACCAAAACAGAAAAACGATTAAATGTTGAAATAATTCTATGTGCTTATGGTCTAGCTCATCTCTGGGAACTCACTGAAAGTTTCCGCTTACACTCCTCAAACAAGTAATACACACTGTGAATTGCATTATCACCAAACCATACCAAACAAGAGGGACCAACTGCATACACGCATAGGTTCCCATCAAAATTGCAACAAGATAAAGTCAAGCTAGGTATTTGACCATCCTGACTGTTTGTGCTCTACACATCAGTAACCGGTGGTTGACATCCATGGCTGTCAACGACACATGACAGCTTGGTCATCATAACTTTTGGGAACCCGTTACATTTTCGTCTAATAACGGACAGACCGTGATGATCTAGCTTTCATTGAGATGTCAATAGCTGACCACCTGGATGACAGGTACCTTAAAGATAACAAGTATAACGCTGCATGTCTCTCCTAGGATTGCGTGACGCATTGCTAAAATGAGATGGATTAATGTTTGGCGTGATGCAGTATAAAGCAGGCAACATTGTCTTTTTATTAGAGAAAAAAGAACTCGGTGTTTTAGTACACACCGGGAAAGTTCATTTATGGCATAAACCGGCCGGAAGCTTTCATTTTGCTTGTCGGAATTGGTTGTATACACTGAAGTATCTCGTAGAAAATGCATTATAGCTCCCGAGCATCTTTACCGCTCCTGCCTAGGTTTGGGTAACTTGGCAGTATCTGGGTGACTTGGTAGCTATGTATCAGAAAAGTGTAACGTCTGAAATGTTATTGTCTTTTGTTCGTTATTGTGAGGAGGAATGATACTCTCGACGAGAACAGCAGAAAGGTTAAACGCTGCCGTCATCGGTTGATCGAAATGGACACACTATCTCCGTGAAATACCCTCATTCGCACACTTATTTCGTTTTAATGGGTGACTCGACTGAATCCCAGCTGAATTTCTCGTCCATGATATTCTGCATCAGGGCCGGCTCAAGTTTTAGTTGGCGTGACACTGGAGATATCGTGGATATCCAGTAGAACATAGGCTTTGCAGATATTCAGCGACTACGTCCATCTGAAGAGCCTCAAAAAATTGAAATCGATCGTGGACTGTCAAGTTGGTTTCAGAAAACATATGACTAGTGTTTTTCCTTCTTTTAACTGCCTTTCAGACTGACTGCCTAACTCACTTTAGGCTTCTTTCCGGGTCTCCTGTGATTTTAGTCTTATCACACTGCACCAATCTTGTCTGTTTTGGGAAATACGAATTCAACATGTTACAGAGCCCTGATTATCCGGGGACACTGTGAATATTACATCCTCTAAATAGTGGAAGGGCTTATGCGAAAGGCTTTCCAACACTACCGATATTTTGTAAGCTAACATTCCCTGTGCGAAAAACAATTCGCCGGGTTGGCAAACACTCACAAGAAGGTTACGAGTTATTCTGGCAGACGGTTTGCGAGGAACTTAGTCTGCTTTATCACTTGGATTTAAGACTGACCCTAGCTGGCCCATTTAGACAAACTTCGCTGGATTTTGTGAGTCACTGGGATTAAAGAAAACAGTTTGGTGTGACGGACCAAATTAATCGAGATATGTTAGTCTCTCCAAAAGGAGACTCATTAGAACAATAAGCGTCTTACATCTTGTATTTTAATAGTACGGTGTTCAAGTCAGTGCTTCACCAAACTATTATTTATAGGCCTTTTCGAAGAAAATTATTTTCCTGTTTAAGAACCTTTCTTTGGCGACCAAAGTTATTCCCAAGTTAATATAAGCAGGAAATACAGATCTGCTTTAGTTATAGCAAAGACAAGTGGAAATTCCATGTTTTCCATAGCACACCAGGCGTCGATTTGGCAGTAGGTTTGTGCGCCTGTGTGGTTGTTTGCGTGTAAGCATGCGCGCTGGTGTTCCTGCCAGCGCGTCCACATGACCCATGTGTTTCTCTCGCAGCGTATTGTTTGTCAGGAGTATAGACTCAATTTCCTGCATCAGTTAGCCCAACACGACCAGATACGTGGTAGCGCAGCTTCGCGTGTTGCCCGGAAATGCACTCGTCCTGCTCGTCCGGTTGAGCCACACAACTCTTGATAGATAACATGTAAATCCAATTTAGCCTGAAACAATGGTGAAGAGGTGAAGGAAATGAGTGATGTTAGATCCATGAACGTTGGCTTCAGTGGGAACAAGGTGGTCGGTCTCTGGTAAGGCAGTTAGCTTTGCGACTATATGGGCGAATGATCCTGGCTTTACGAACAAATCAAAGTGACAGAAAACCAGCGAGTAACTTAATACGTGGGTTTTGTAACTTGAGCAACTGATTAAACTCAACTAACCATCACGGTAGAACAACGATAGTCGTTTATTCAATTCGTTTTCGGATGCTACTCCGAGTAGATCTGCTCAAATACGAATGCAGACAAATTGTAGACTGTTACAAAACAGTAAATGAAGTTCGCCTATCACCGTCACAAAATAGGAAGACTATCATCAAAATACAGTGCGCAAAGCTGACAACGTTCCGATCTTCTTATCAGTTTTCTGTTATTTATTGTTTTGGAAGGTTAGTCAGGCTGAGTTGGCTAAGTTAAATTTAGTAGAGAGTGAACAAATTAAGTCAAAGTAGATGCCACCACAATACTAATCCAAATACCTATGACTTATTGAATAAGGAACCTAAAACTGCGTTTATACATGTATCTTTTGGTCTTTTGAGGAGCGGCTTGTTGTTACATCAACAGAGTGAAACGCGGTCGTGCGTTATCAGTGGGTACGCCTCCTTCACGCCTTTAAGATAATAGTAGATACCACAACAAGTGTGGTAGTGATTAACTTCTCAAAAAAGTAAATCAATCTGGTTTTAATCCAGTGCCAACTGCCTGCTTAATAGTTCACTCGGGACCCAGTATTGCTTTGGAAGAAACTCAATCATAGCTAACACCGAGTTGTGTTTTTTACTCAGTTTAAGAGCTATTTTACTTGCTACGTACTGATTGAAAAGACCTAATTTCCCACAAAATTCATAAAAGAATAAGTTATCACAGACCACGGAAAAGGCTCATCCAAAAGGCCTGTGAACATCGAAAAGTTTCCCTCAGTTCCTTCTTATCACCTACTATTGCTGCGTGGATTTAATGAATATTTATTTTGAATGACCCATGAAGCTAGGGCAACCAGTAGGATTGTTAGCAGCACTGAGTGGAGACCTAGACATAGCACAAAACCGGATCAAGTACTGTCCAGTGTCAGTTTGATATGGCCGACTACTGACGATAATAGTTTTTTACTTTTAATCTAGGTTTTTGTCCTGTCACTGAGGAACCGTACGATTGTTTCATTCTTATTTGGAATTGTCGCCACTATGCATCTCGCTTCGTGAGACGGACTGCAAAGAAACCCCCAGAGTCGTCATGCAATTAAAGTGCATAGCCAACCAAATTCTCCTACTCGTGTCTGCACGTGAGGCGAAATTCGTACCTCTGCTTCATATTATACGGCCCACGTTTAGCGTCAGTCCCTTGAAATAATGGTGAAGCAACGATCATAGCAGCCAATGCTACCCGAAGCTAGCGCTTAAGCAGATTCTTCTGAATCCCCATAAAACTCTCAGTTATTTTCGACAAATCTATTATGGTGTTATCGTTCACATTTTCCTTCATCTGTCATTCTACGCCAGTAAATAAATTTCGTCAGTTTGTAGGGAGGAGAATCAGCGGAGTTCATGTTGTTTCCCGAGCATCGCAATTACGTTGAAAACGTTATCTGTCGTTGCAGAACGGCGCTGAGCGCCGTTGGCTGTTGTGTTGATCTGTGGTGTTCACGATCTTATACAGGCACTTTCGAATGAATGTGAAGCACGATTGTGACTGTTTGTTTCGGTGAATGAATACTTCCATGTTCTGCTTGGTGGATACCTAAATGACCTTTGAGCTCGGCTCTACAGATTTTCCTGTTACTTTTGTATGGTGGTTTGTTGCTTTCGTTTTTTCCGCTTAAATTCACGATCCCTTGTTCGTACAGACGCACAAGTTGGATCCAGTTCATCGCATTTTTCAAGCCAGTTTCCACCCCGGTGGAAAATCCCCTGCGCATTTATTCCTGAAATGGCGGTCTTCCTGATCTTCACGTATTGACATCAAGGAAGGTGAACATTTTAGTTGACATTTCATTCATTCTGACCCTATACAACTTGAGGTACAAGCGTCTCCCTCAATAAGCAGATATTATCATCCCTTTGGCATTTTTACTACATTAATCAATTAACTGCTGAATGACATCGAAATTTCACCGGTTGCTAACTTTACGTCCCTTATTTTTCAAAGAACTATCCACAATTGTTGCTACTACGTTTTAATCCAACCAAGTCGTGCACCGAATTTTTTCAAAAGTTTCCTGTCAGTCTACAATCTGGGAGTTCTGACATAGATAGCGCTGAGTGAGGCTCCATCTGTGTAATCTGATGGTAACAGCTAGAATAGATGAATCATCCCTTTTCAGATTTAATTCTTCTTATTCGGTTAACTCCCTTGTTGATTGCAGTTTTTACATCGCGGTGTTAATATTGAACTGAATTTGTGATCGATTTGGCGATATGTAATCGTGTTGGTTGATAGTGTTGGTATTTCCCGATGATGATGCGCCCCTATCAGCATTATATTTTCTTTTTCCCTGGTGATATTTGTACATAGTTCTCTCCTTAGTTATTACGGGGACAATAAAGTAATAATCAACAAAACACAGAACGTCCACTTAGCGGACAATGAACTTACGGTCTCATCCGACGTTACTTTCTCTTCACATCGAATACTCGCAAATATGGCGAATAAACCATGAGAGAACTAATATACTACTCATAAGGTTACTGAGATTTCCTCGACAGCCCAAAACCGGTTTTGCCCATCCTCAACCAAAAATTACGCTTGGTACAGGCGAGTCTCTGGAAAAACCAAATTTGTTTGCAAATGAGTGCATTTTCATGAAAGAACTACTTCAGAATCAACCCATTATAACATATAAGGGAACAGGGCGGCTGATAAAACATTCCACTTCGTGGACGAGTATATGGGCTGATGTAAGAAACGCCAGTCGGAAGAAAAATATAAGGACCGAACGCAGAAGGATATATAGACTTTCTGTATATTTCTGGATTGAAACTTCCAGTTTGTTAGTTTGAGTGATCCTTGTATCCGTAGGGAATAAACCATTTTCTAGATAGTGAAAAGTAATTTACGAGTAACATCAGTAACCCTTGACAACCGTTTCCAACGAGGAGAACGCTCTAAATTTAAACAAAAGCAGGACTTCACAATTTACCCCAAAAATTCGTTCTTAATACAACAGGAGGTCATTTTCAGTATAAACAAAAACAGAAAAGGAGGATATATCTGTGCGGAAGACAACCAACTTTAATGGTGTCAAAACTTTCAGGAAAACAACCAATCCAGTATCCTAAATGTACATACAATCTAACTGGTAACGGTCAACAAAGGGTTACCTTATAACCTACGTCGTTCTGCTTTATGGGCACTGTTTTATTGTTGAGGACAAACTTAAATGCATTGTCCAGATTGCTTAGTACTGTAGGTAGGAAATTTTAATGTGGTGCATATCTTTCATCGTGTTCGGGTCCAATACTTTTAAACTTTCCGGGCTAAATCTTCTCAGTTATTCAGCTCACCCACCACAACATTCCACCACAATTTATGAGCTATTCCACAAGTACCAGCAAATCAAACATCTGCAACAATAGTGCGAGGCGAGAAGCCCGCTTGATCAATTGTCAAATCACCCACTTTTCATTCAGTTGACGTTATCCCTCCTCGTCTTCCGATATTCTACATAGAAGTATCGAATGTCGTGCGACAGTAGGCTGTACAACTACCATTAATTATTTTGGCCTGCGCCCAATGATGATGGATTAACCCGGAGCTCATTCATTCGTGGTTTGTCTCACAACCCATCCGTGTTGGATGAAAACATATTCATGCTCATCATGAAGCTGCACTTGCGGAATTCGCCCCGCCCAAGGGTAAGAGAGTTAGAGGAGAATATTCTCGTGGAATCGGCCTCGACTCGAAACATACAGCTGGCATGGAAATATTACAGGCATTCGGGTAGGCTTACTTGTCAAACATGGCGAGACAAGTGGAAAGCACAGAGGATAACCGAATCTGAGTTGTCAGTTGGAGTAATATATGTTGATGGTGGCGAACTCATGGAAGGCATGCTAGGGAGAAGAGATAACGTCACTGCTAAGTCCCAACTGATGCCTCCTCACACCCATCCGTATGCATCTATTTGTCTGTACGTACATGCGTACATACATGCATACTTACAAGCAAGCACATGAGGGGGAATGAATACAGCGCATGAACAATCAAGTTCACCGTTGCTCATCCGTGTTAAATCCAATGTGTGACACCTTGACGTATACAAGCACGCAACCGAACAGCACCAGTTACTCGAATTTGAGGCTTACACGCTCTTCTCTGAGTACACATACACACCAGCTAACACACAATCAAAATCGAAAAGTGTCATGAGAAAATCTTGTCTGACAGATGATTTGACACCGACCACTACTAATGTTCCGGAGGGGGAGTGTGGGATCCAGCGGATGCATTTCACCGTGTCCACCAGAGCTGCGAGCTAGCAATCTGAAACAGAATTTCACGGGATTTAACCTGGGCAGTGCAACCGAAACGGCTCATGCCAAAGCCCACTCACAGTGACTTTTCAACGCTGTTTGTTTGCTTGATTAGCTGTTGTGTTCTCTGGGGCGTTCGACAGTGTTGACTGATTTGTCCAACCTGTACAGTTGCAAAAATGCGCACATACAAACAGACTAGCGGAGTGCATCCATGTGTAGAAAATGTATCTAATCGCGCTAGCTATCTACGTTTGGTAGCTACTATGGCTGCCATGTCACACCGTAAGTTTGACAATTGCAACAAAACATTCAGCTTTATTCCGCTTTATGGGAGGGTGGATGA